AGGAATGAATATCAATACAGATCTCTGAGCTCAATTCAAAATGGCCAACAAATCCTCAAACTAAACTAAATACGTTGCTTTTCGGTGTTTTGTGAGCTGGTGACTGTGATCAGCGCAGCAGCTGCCTCTCCTCTTCACCCATTCATCCACAGCTGCTGGGGGGCTCTGAAGAGCTCAGACAATAAAAACACATTTCTATTCAGACTAGAGTGGAACCACGTGTCCCTGTAGAGCTGAGCTGGCACACTGCTGGTTATCTTTCCAAACAAACACCGGGGTGTCTTGTTTCTTTAATGAGTTCAGGAATAAATGGATCGATTGAGCTGCAGGCTCTGAGCACTCACACAGGACATCTCCATGGACAGCCTGCAGTCGTGTCTCCAAACCTTCTGAACCAATGCCCTCCAAACACCTCTCAGCAGAAACGCTGCTGTCCGTCAGAGGGCTGGAACAGAAGTGGTTAATATGACGTGTTTGATCACGGAAATCAAAAGCTGAAGGTGGAGAAACGAGCTAGTGGTCGGCGGTAATCCATAATAACGTTGCACAGAAAACGAGAAATTATTATTGTCTAAAGAATGAGAAGAGCTAGAGAGAGGTTCAAGCCCTGGCTCCTCTCTCACCTTGAAACGTCGTCCTGTTACAGACCCTGTCAGGTACAGACCCTGTCAGGTACAGACCCCCGAATCTGGTGTGGAAAAGGTGACGTACATCGCGCTCTGAGGTTTAAATACTGAGAGCAGAGGTCTCATGGACCCGAATTCAAAAATCCATTGTGACAAGCAGGAATTAATCATCAAAAACCGAGACCCAAACAGAAACACCTGAGGGCAGTGTGTACAACATGATTTGGACTGGGCTGTGCCGACCTCATCTACATTTGTCATCATTTTGGTTACAGTTGTCACTATTTTCCACGGACAAGCCAGGCTAGATGTCCCCGTCGTTAGTGTCCCTCTTATTGATCCGCCATCAAAGGCCACAGCACCAGTCCTATCTGAACACTGAACAAACCACTGGATGGGGACTTTGACTCCAATGTCTGAAACCAGGCTGTTTCTGAACTAACCTGTGTGTATCATTCACAGGTATACTTTAAGGCGAAGTCCAAGTACACGCCTGCACTACTGAAGTACAGGTAATTTTGTTTATTCTGCCATAAACTAGACCAAACATTAAAGTGAAACTGAGGATCTGATGTGGAACCAGTGACTGTTTAGGCCTTTATTGCCTCCGTGTTAGCGCACAACTATGGGTTGAATCGTAGATGGTGCGTTGGTGCACAACTATGGGTTGAATCGTAGATGGAACTTGGATGAATACTAGACCAGCTCTCTCCTCCCACAGACTTCCTCTGTACCTGGTCTTCCTGGGCGTCAGTCTACTTTTCCTGGTCGTTAACCTGGTCTGTGCCCTGATGGTCAAAAGGGTCGCTGCCGATGTCAAGACCATTGTCCTGGTGAGGGTCACCATCAACGACAGCCTGTTCGTGCTCTGCGCCATCTCGCTGTCCATCTGCCTCTACAAGGTCGCCAAGATGTCGCTGGCCAACATCTACCTGGAGTCAAAGGTAAAGTCAGGATCCTTTAGAGAGAGCTTTCCAGACACCAGACTGAACAGGATATTCCAGGTTTTCCATGACTGAAAAACCTCTTGTAAATATTACATCAGAGATATACATTTCAAAGTGAACTATAAGGAGTAACACCTGTGTGTGCAGGGGACGTCGGTGTGTCAGGTGACTCTGATCGGCATCATGGTGGTGCTGCTGTATGCGTCTCGAGCCTGTTACAACCTGGTGGTGCTCGCCCTCACCGACATCGAGACCATCAACTCCTTTGACTATGACTGGTACAACGTCTCCGACCAGGTGATGGCTGTGGCGGACTTATAACTTGCCATAGGTGTAATCATGGTAAATGGACTGTATTTTATATAGCGCTTTCTCACAGTGTGTTGCACTGGCCAAAGCGCTTTACAGAGATGATACACCATTCACCCATTCACACACAACATTCACACACTGATGACGACAAGCTGCCATGCACCGGCGCTAGTCAAGCCACCAGGAGCAATTCGGGGTTCAGTGTCTTGCTCAGGGACACTTAGGCATGCGGGGAGACCGGGAGTCGACTTCAGGGTCCGACGGCCGCCTCAGGACAAGGTCAGTCCACCAGGCAAGGTCACATGACCTCCGCAGGTGGCGTTTTATAACAGATACAAAGAAAACAAACAGGAAATGGACTTTACTACAACATTTCACATTAGGAAATGCACTGTGATGTCAACTTCACTGTGCAGAATGAAGCTGAGTTTCAAAGTATCCGCAGGACTGATGACATCACAGCTAGCGTGGGGCCAATCATGGTCCAGTTACACAAATTAATATTCAAAGGTGAATATTTTTATGTGTGTCAACACTTGTGGAGGACATCTTTAATGATCATGTTTGGCTTATGGGGTCATTTTGGAAAACAAACAGCAGCAGCACAAAACAGTGCGTTTGTGTGGCTCCGCTGTAAAAACCTGTTTGAACTGTTACAGTCTGCATTTAAGACTCCTCACCCCGAGCCAATCGACAGGCCACTGGTGTCTGATGAAGATGATAATAACGACTCTCTGCCTCCACAGAGCACTGCCGGGATCCCAAACCACGTTCTCTCCTCCAGAGGATACTTCTTCGACAACCCTCGCCGGTACGACAGCGACGATGACCTGGCCTGGAGCATTCCTCCCCAGAATATGTCGGCGAGGTACGAGCACCTAAGTTGCACATCTGTGGTGTTGTTCTGGATTAATTAAAACAGTGATGATCAATATTTCTTTTTACAACCGATGATGTGAAACATGTCAGTGGGGGACAAACAAGCACTCTCATCATTCTGTTAAACATAAGGCAGCAGCTTAGCACAACCACTGGAGACGGGACACAGCCCCCTGGCCCTGTCCACGGGTGTTTCACTGAAGTCTCCTGTTTCTATGTCACACCTAATATAAGGTGTGAATTGTTGAGCTTTAGAGGTGCCGCACTAACAGGAGCATTTCCCCATTATATAAAAGATATGTATGTATATAATTATATCATTATAATAATGTGTCTCTATATGTATATATACACACAGCTGTCAGAGGGTGGGGACAGGCTAACGGAACATGGACACACTCACATTCACACGTCCATTTGGTATCGACCTTCGTATTTCCCCAAATGTCCAACTGTTCCTTTAAAACAACTGACAGACTGTTTCTGTCCGACAGTCTTTCCTCCGACTGCTACGACTGGAGCAGCCGCCACAGCAGCTTCACTGTGCACACAGACGGCGACGAGCAGCGTGTGACCGCCGCCGGAGGAGGAGAACTCCACCCTTACCCGTGATTCGTCTCTGTACAGCATCACTCTCGCTTTGCCACCGATTAGTGGTTTATTGGTAGAGGTCTGTGGAGGTTAGGAAGTTCAACAGGGTCCTTACACAGATTACATCCAGGTTGTTAAAGCCTCCAGTGATGGAGCAGATAACAGTAAATGTTTAGAGCTTTTGTTGCATGTGGATCATGATCTTTAACGACAATGCAGTGACAATCATGCTGATTGGCTGAGGGAGGCCGTGTGTTGTGGACAGAACTGACGTGTTGTCTGTAAATGTTTTTGTATATTTTTTCATATTCGTCCAAAGTCCCACTGACCGAGCTCTAAACATTTCCATTTGTAGACGTGGATGTCGCCGTAGGCTTCTAAAAACAAACTGAACAGCTGAATAAGCATCAGAAAGGACGCAGTCACCTCTGCCCAGATGACGTGGGCTTCATCAGCAGGTGGAGGCAGAACAAGCCTTGGAATGGCTCAGAACTGTAGAAAGTCTGAGCCCCAACATGGCAACTCAGTCTGTTGAGCATCACATGGTAACAGCCAGAGCGCGCACCGTGCGTGAACCCTCCAGGACAATGTTGTGACAACGTGTCTAAAACATCTGGGGAAATGACTCAAGTAGTCAAATACACATGACACAAGTTTTTAATGTTGGTGGAAAGAATTAGTCCAACTTCAGCTGGTCAGCTGATGCTCCACGTGACTGTGATTCCTTTGATCACTTTTCCAAGTGTTTCACAAGATATTTTATTTTTATTTACATTAAACTGTAGTTTGTGTAAATGTGCACCGAGCCCTTGTGTTATAATCATGACTTATAACAGATGTGTGGTGCAGGATGCTTCCGAAATAGAATCATCAGGTTTTATTTCTAATGCATCCGCAGCTGTCAGGTCATCCAGGGGCTGATTCGGCCTACGTCATGTTCCAAAAGGTAAACATTGGACTGGAGTCCATGTTGTTTGTAACGTTTATTATTGTCTCATAATTACGACTTCTGGACATTGGGATCTTGTGGAGCAGAGAAGCGTCGGCGGCGCCTGATTTACATGCACGTTGAGGCTTCATATATGATGGAATGGATATGAGGTTTAATAAAGCCGTTTGAAAACGTGACATGACCCACTAAACATAAACTGGCTTGTGTGGACAGAAACAAAGTATGACGTTACAGTGAGTCCGTGTTGGATGCAACTTACGCGCCATTTTTTGACGCGATACTGAGGAAATCCTAAAAAGGGATGATTCCCAGTTGGGTTGCGAAACGTCCCAGTTGTACTACATGTCGTGGTACAAGAAGACAATAAGCTGAGATATGAGATAATAATACGAGATAAGGCCTCCAGTCTCTCTTCCTATCGTGAATACAAGGTGCTTCTCTCTAAGGCCTCCTTCATACTCGGTGCAAGATGCAGAGACGCAGGTGAAACAGGTGTTTACTGCCGTGTCTTGGCAGGTGTGGTGCACAGCTCATGCACCAGGGGGCAGCAAAGGTCCCCGGCCCGTGGTCCGAGTCAGGTCGGAGGATTTGTCCAGTAGCTTCCACTGCATTACAAAACGTTTCACTACGTAGGTTCACGTCAGACCTTTCTTCCATAGAGTATGATTAATTAAATTAATAATAATAATAAATTAATTTAAAATGTTTTTAAAAAGTATGAAAGTTTGACAGCAGCTTGTAGCACAAACTGATAATCAACACAATGTCCCGGTTATTTTTTAACAAGAAACTAAACATCCTATGAAATTAAACATCTAATCTGTAAAAGTAAAAATAAATAAAATCAGCACTGTTACGTCATTATTAACCTGCCATACACTGTTGTTTTGATGAACACCTCAAAACATGCACGTCCAAGTTATTTAATGTTGGGGTTGAGTCTTAATTGCACTTAAGTATATTTGTTAATGTTAAATCTGAATAAATGCAGATTCCCAGAACTGTATAAAACCAACAGGTTTAAATTTCAATACTGTCATCAGGAAAAATAAATCATTTAAACGATTCAACCCATCATCAAGTTCTGGTTCAAGTGGATTTTGTTTTGCAGTGTCGAAGTTTCTGCAACGAGGCTGAGAAAAAAGTGTCGACTCTGTATTTCTAAGAGGTTTTCTAGGTTTGAACGAGATGTTTGGATGCTGAGTCTTTAGGTTTGTGACATGTCGACACAAAAAGGAGCATCGTTAATAAAATGACAAGTTCTGCTGGATTAAAACAAACGTGTTGATCTCATTGTCAAAAACCAACCACAGTTCAGTGATGTCTAGAAATATTTATTCCTCTTTTCAAATAAATATATTTAACAGGTGCACACTCCAACATGACGTGAAGGCCTTTTACAACCTGTACAGATTTGGATTCAACATGGAGAGAGTGAAGATGTGACGCAGACCTTTAACAGACCGCCACTTTGGTTCCAGTGCCAATGGGACAGGACGTCCAGCTGCTGCAGGGGAAGCTGTGCACACGCCTGGCACACACACACACACACACTCATTTTTCACATAAACGTCTTTCTTTTGTTCACACAAACATCGATTTATTACAACTGATGATATAAACACAAAAAAGTCAATGATTTAAGCAACTCAACATCAAACATCAGCAGTAGGTGATTATTATTCAGCAGCGATTAAATAAAAAACATGAAATCATTAAAGTATCAATAATTTATCATCATTATGAAGTGAATCTTAAAGCGACGTGTCTTCTTTAAAAGGCTTTTGAATTTTACAAGTCTTATCCGTCATGTTATAATTCTGTTCATAACGTTTGTTTACTCTGCACTTTCTCACAGCTTTGGTCAACTTTAAAACTATTAACAAAAATCTTTTTCAATTTGAAAAAATAAACGAAGCCAGAGATGTGACTGAATAAAAACAGAATCGCAGTCAAAGACCTTTAACAATCAATTCAAAGGCAGCGTATTTCAAAGTAATGATCACATTTAACGACAATTTCATTCCTTGACCTTCATTTTCCTTCTCATGAACAAACCACATACAGCGTCACAGCCTGACCCCCCCCCTTCTGCTCTGCACAGGCCAGTAAACCCACCAGTGGCCAACCTGGCTAATGTTCT